GATACCACGTTTGTCTCTTTATGACTATTAATAACGGATTGATCGACCGTTTAACAAAAATTTCCGTGCGCGCGAGCTCTTGTAATACATAGCAAATATGGGCAAAAACATGCCTATACAAAATCCATTGTAGCTCTTTAGGATGCAAGGTGACCCCAATTTGTTTTCATATTTTAATAGAGTATGATTCGGAGATATTGTTTCATGTCTCATTCGACCCTCAATTAACTCATGACGTCATCACAATGGCCTCCGAACTCAAAATTCCAATTTGCATATTATGACGTCAGCATATTTATGGAAAATTGATTGTATCTCTGTAAATATTGATTGATTTTCTTCCAAATTTTGATATGTTCTAGCTGAGACAATTTTCTACAAAGGCAATTGCTATTATTTTTCATTTTGACAAAGGCATGGCGTATTTTTGCGATTAAAGGAGGCATGTCAATTTTTTACATTTTGCGTGTATTCTCTATGGGACATGACTTTTTCTCAAAACTGGATTCTACATTCTCGTCTTTTGCGAGCAATATCTCCGTCGTTGTATCTTTGTTTACGCTGAGCTTTGAGTATGTTGTAGCTGAGACAATAAGCTATCACAAATGTGCCCTTTATTTTGAGATCAGATGCCGGGATCATGCTCATATTTCACTTACAAAGTGGGATTTGAGAATTCAGTTTTCAGTTTACGTGTAATCTCTATTGGAAATGTTTTGGTATATCGGTAACGCACTTGACTTCCGACCTCGAGGTCCCTGGTTCGAGTCCGGGCGTTTCCAACAATTTTTTTTCTTCACTTTTTTTTCTTTTTGACCTTTCACTGTACCATCTCCTTTGAATATTAAAACACGTACAATCGCAAATAATGTAATAAACAACCATATTTACTTTAATATTACCCTATTATCACTTGATCCATTACTTTTGGCGTGTAATCCTTATGGGAGATGACTTTTTCTCAAATCTGGATTCTACATTCTTGTCTTTTGCGAGCAATATCGCCGTTATTTCGGCTTGATTTTTGTTGATTTTGGAGTATGTTGTAGCTGAGACTATATACTATCTAAATGTTCTCTCATTTTTTTCAGTCTGATGTCATCGTGGTCTGTTGATGATAATCATCAACATCATCATGATCATCATCATCATCATCGTCATCCCCATTACTATCAAGATCATCATCATCATAATCATCATGATGATCATCATTGTTTACATGTCTATATAACTTCTCCCTTTCTCAATATAGTAAATATTATAATCTATCATAAGACTTGAAGACAGACCACCTTAATCGTCCTCGTGACGATTTAAATTCTAGTTTAATATAATGTTGTCCACCTTCTTTTAGATATCTATTTTGTGCTAAAGTATAATGTGATAAACGTTTCATTTTATTTTGATGCAACAGAGATTTACATTCAAAGGTTTTTACTTTTTATAATTGTACAGTAAGTTCTTCTCATTTCGACATTATCAGCCACTGGTTCTCTATTTTGTTTCCTAAACTAAATAAAAGGTATATGTGAGAGGGGGGGGGGGGGGTAGAAAGTTGGACGTAGCCTGTATAGACCCTACTGTATTAATTGTTATGATATTTGTCTCCCCTCCGATCACTCCCCCCCCCCCCCCGGCTCTGATTTTGTTCTTTAGTTTGTCTCTTTTGGTTTGATTATATTTTTTCGCTAAAGCATAATGTCCGACGTATAGCATCAGTAATATGTTATAATAATTAATCTCAAGGAAGGGATGATGCCCGCATACAAGCAAATGGCGGAATAGACATTATGAAAGATGAAGATGGACATAGAGAGAGAGAGAGGGAGAGAGAGGGAGAGAGAGGGAGAGAGGGGGTGGCGGGAGATAGAAAGTTGGACGTAGTCTGTACTGTATTTATTATTATGATAATTTTCTCACCGATTCCCCCCCCCCCCGCTCATATTTTTTCTTTAGTTTTTCTCTTTTTTGTTTGTTTATATAGTTTGGCTTAAGTATAATATCCGACGTATATACCGTCAATATAGCATAATAATTTTTTATTTTTATTTATCAGTTTGAATAACAGAGATTTACAGTAATATTCTTCTCATTTCGATATTATGAGCCCCTCGTTCTCTATTTCGTTCCCTAAACTAGATATAAGGTATAACAAAAAGTCATGTGAGAGGGGGGAGGAATAGAAAGTTGGACGTAGCCTGTATATACTGTATTTATTGTTATGATATTTGTCTCTCCTCCTCCAATCACTCCCTTCCGGCTCTGATTTTGTTCTTTAGTTTCTCTCTTTTGGTTTGATTATATCTTTTCGCTAAAGTATAATGTCCGACGTATACCATCAGGAATATGTTATAATAATTAATCTCAAGGAAGGGATGATGCCAGGATACAAGCAAATGGCGAAATAGACAACATTATAGAAGATGAAGATGGACATAGACAGAGAGAGGGAGAGAGTGGGTTGGCGGGAGATAGAAAGTTGGACGTAGTCTGTACTGTATTTATTATTATGATATTTTCTCTTAATCCTTGTCTGAATTCAGTTTTCCCTCACCGCGCTGACGTTTCATTAAATTATTAGAGAATGTTTTTCGACTCTTAATCCTAGTCTGAATTAATTCCCCCCCCCCTTCCGCGTGAACCGCGGAAGCTTTGACGTTTCATTAAATTATTAGAGAAAGAACAAAGAAGACGATTCGTTGTACCGACTCTTCATCATTGTTTGAATTATCAAAAATGTTTCTTTGTTATTATTATTGTTTCAGCGTTATCCTCCGCGCGCTTTATAATAATGAAGGACAAAAGCGCCGCGACATACAATAAGGTATGTATTTGAAAGAATAACTGCTTTTTATTTGTGCACAGATTAAAAGAAAGTGACATCTATACACAAAATAAACACAAATTATTATACAGGTTAAAATTGTAACCTATAGTGCTTTCGAATACTTGAAAAGATGAGCAGATGTTCATGTTGGTCACACATGGTCGTCCCTTACAATATTCTTTAAACAAAATCACGCACTTATGTAATTGAGAGTGATAACGTTTCGTCGTCCCTTACAATTTTCTTTAAACAAAATCACGCACTTATATATATATATATATATATAATGAATTGAGAGTAAAATTAGATAACGTTTCGTTCATTTGGGTCTACCGCCGAAAGCTTTTATTTCGATCTATTTGCTTCATATACTTATATATAAGTCATCAATTATAGCTCACTTTTAATTAAAATGTAGAGACATTTTCTTCTATTTCTATTTTAAACTTTTACATCTCATGACGACACGTTCTAGTATGGGTCTTGTAAGTAGTGAACACAAACTATATGGGATTAAAAAGGGATCTGAAAATGATTTGCTTGCGTGTACAAATTATACTTGAGAAAAGCTAAGAAAGCCAATCTATAAAATCCTTATTATCTCTATAGCCTGTGGATACTCCCTTAAGTTCCGTCACTTAGCCAGCCAGAACGATTTATTTATTTATTTATTTAAAATGGTTTATTTCATTAAAAAACATTCGCGGCCTGAGAGCCGAATCAGTTTTTTTTACAAAGTATACATCAGTGACAAAGTAAAATTACACGTAAAAAAATTATGCATGGTAGCATAATGGTAGTAAAATTGCAATTCTTTTGTACATAATTGTGCTTCAACGACCTTGGCAAATTGCTTGGTACACTCTAAAAACTGAAATGTTAAATCACCATTTAAAAGAGCCAAGGAGTGACCACTCTTTCAAAATGGTAGATTAACACTTTGAACATGCTGGATCCAACACTATAAAGGTTAAATCTAGCAGGTTAAAAGAAACAATCTGACATTTTAAAAGAGTGGTCACTCCTCGGCCCTTTTAAATTTACATTTAACATTTCAGTTTTTAGAGTGTACATACAAAAAATTTGAATTGTATTACCATATTTGCAATGAAATTATATATTGAACTTATACAATATATGAATAGTGATACATTTTTTATATTCAAAAGAATTAAATGTTTTGGTTGGAAAATGCATAGCCAGATGGGTATGGTATGGTTATGGTGTTTTCTTTAATAACAGAAACAGAGACAACAACAGAAACCAAATCCAGGAATTATAAAATCAAATAGATGCTACAATGATTTAAACAAATTATACATTGTAGGTAAAATGCAGAACATTTTGTATTTGGGCCAATTTACTAAAAGGTACATGTAGAATATGATATTGCATAAAAATAACATAAGTTTCGCATAAAAAACATGGGTAAAAGTTTGCCATTGTAATATTCGATATAATGTGCATCATCTTGGGAATTGTTATAAAGTCAAACAGGATTTTGTACAATTAAAACTGATTTAGTTTAAAAAAAAGTAATATTCTATAGTAACATTATTCAAAAATGCATTCACATGTCACCCTTTTATTTAAGAAGTTATACCAGAGAAAGAGAGAGAGAGAGAGGGAGAAAGAAGGAGAGTGAGAAAAGTGAGAGAGAGAGGGGTGGGAGAGAGAAAGGGAGAGAAAGAGAGATAGAGGGAGAGAGAGAGAGAGAGAGGGGGGGGGGCAAAGAGTGAGGGTAACAAGACAGTGAGCTAGCCAGAAAGCCATGAAGAGGGTCTCCCCGCCCCGCAGCACAGCACTGACAGAGAGGAGACAATTAGGTATTGAGAGAGTGATCGATGGATGTGTTAGTACGTAAACTGGTGGAAACTTAGATGCAAATATCCTCGGAAATATGCGTTACAATGGAAAATTCGAGGAAAATTGTTCAATATTTAGTAATATCATAGTACTGAGATGCCAGGAACTAAAAATGGCTTGACTTTGAACTTGTAAAAGACATCAAATTAAAACAACAAATTAGGGGGCGAGCTGACCAAAAAACTGGGGGCGAGCTGACCAAGAATCCCAAAATCGGCAAACAAAATCGGGAGGCGACATGACCAATTGAGGGCGACTTTGTAAGGGGGCGGGCTGACATTAGGCGAGCTGACATGGAACCGTCATTTATGAGTATGCCGTTCCGACGTACGTACGTACATCATAGGTTTTATGGTTACTAGGTCTACTAACTGAACCTGAAGACTAGCTGAAATCAGGAGTAAAATGGCAACGGACGAATTACCTACGGAGTACGATGATATTGTCATCGGAACTGGTAAGAAATTCGGCCTTCTCTCGAAATAAAACTCTGGTCATCGAGTGACAGTCATGAGTGTGCAGTGACATTACAGTACAGACTACGGTACAGTGTCAGACAGTAGCCTACACACAAGTATTACTGACCATACATGAATGACTGTGTAGCGAGCTTGTATTTTGTAAAGTTGTTAACTTGTATTGTAACTTGTAAGTTACCAGTAGTAGCAGTAGATCTAGGGCCTTAGGGGCGCTAATCCGAGAATGAGGATCGTCCGCATTAACGGAGTAATCCTCGTCGTATACGCGGCATTTTCGCGGACGTTATTTTTCTTCAGTGATCTGCAGGTTTCTGGTTCTTGAACCGCGCGCTGGCAATTCGAAAAACAGATTAATAACATCACTCTAGATCTAGTCTCTACGCCTAGTTTACCACCACCTTTCATGGGTTGTCTGTCTTCCCAAGGATTTATCGTTCAAAACTTGAAAGTCTCTTTTTAAATTCAGTGTAGGCCTAGAGTAAGACCGCCAAACTTCGGACGTTGCCAAGCTTCGGACAAAAAGTACTTCAACGGCTCGAAACGCAAAATATGAGCCTAGCTCAGGCGGGTAACTTGCATGCATTTGATACTACTAATAGGGTGTCTGATCGCGCACCCGATGTTGTGTGCTAAAATTCTTCCCATAGAGATTACACGCATCCCTATGCAGTCTACGTGCATTGCGCGACCATGCAAAAAAAGTCAATTTTTTTTTTTCAATTCGAGATTCAAACCTTTATCTGTTGTGATCCTGAAGGTGATAATCAATAAATGAGGTGTCATATGAAAGAGCAGGTAAATTCCAATATTTCTAAAGGGGCGTAGCCCCCGAAATTCTAAAAATATCTTGGTCAAAACAGCAATTGAAACATTGTGTCCTGGCTAACTCTGAGGTTTGTCACTTTTGAGATATGACGCCCCGCTCGATAAGTAGTCCCAGTCCTAAGGAACAATTCTATGTGCTTATATTTTCGCTAGCCCCCAGGGATCACAACTGATAACAGTTTAAAAATACCCTTCTCACTATTTGGTGGATCAGCTAATTAGGGGGCGTGCGCTCCGCTCAGTCCAAACCATGGTTACATCGCGTAACATCTCCGCGCACGAACGAAACCCCAAATTCAAGTATGGGTGGCCATTCGCGGCATAGAACCCGGAAGTGAATGCACGTTATAGTCAATGGCAATATCGCGGAGATGTCTCCGCGATATTGCCATTGACTATAACGTGCATTCACTTCCGGGTTTATTGTGCGACGAACGCCAACCATACTAGTCAATGGCACATGTCGCGGAGACAGCGTAGCTCAAGCTGCAAGTCGCGGATTGGCTTAGCAGCATGCGTACGATATGCATACGCTTGCATATCGCGCGATACAGCTGTTTGGCTAAATTTAGCAAAACAACATCACTCTGCGTAGACGTCTTTTTCGTCGATTTTGACCAAAATGATATGAATATACCAGCGTTTTGGAGGGGCTGTAACTTTTGATAGAAACATCGGTGAGACTTGAAATTTGAAATGTATTATTCTGATAACATCTTTTATTCAAATATCAAACAAAAATGGTGAAAAACGATCCCAAATTGAAAATTGAAAAATCGTTCAGACACCCTACTACTAACCTATATTGTTAGTACAAAAAGTTAGGGCAGGTTGCCGTCTGCAAAACTCACAAAAAACATCGAATTCAGAGACAGATTTCAGGCTACCTAGATTTTTACAGTCCCTAACAGGGGAGTTTAGGTGTGGAGCCTCCAATATATCGATTACAAACAAATCCTTGGCATATTTCAGGTGGTTTCTGCCAAAATTATGGGAGCTTATGAGATACTTTTTCACTCTATCGCGAAAATTTTCTAATGGCGGCCGTTACCACGGACTTATAGGGTTCTAGACAGATACCCCTACTGGAAGATGGCGCTCTTCCAAGCTTCGGACAGGCAACATTGAGTGTCATTGTGACTACGAAAAAATTGCGCTTTCGTAAGATTTTAGCACCAAAATATAGTGTGAGTGTTGTGAAAAACACCTTTCTGATAGTTCTATCTAACTTAAATCTACCCCAAACGAGAAAATAATACTTTTTTCATGAAATTGTAAAAATTCTATGCTGACTATAATGAGTACGAGCTAGACTTTTACTCACCACTGTCTTTTGTTGTGTAGAAACTTGAGAGTGATCCTATATATGTAGTATGAAGATGACAATGGCGATCGCGATGTGTGTTGATCAATATACAATGTCGAGTGTAACACGTTGAAGAAGAATTGTAGAAATTGACACTCCTAAATGTTGGGGAACAGAGGGAGTGTTCGTAGTAAATGTCCCCGACGAATATATAAAAAATACTAGACTGAAGACTGAAGAAGTGGAGTCTAGTTGTGGCAAGAGTTGGTAATATAAACGCTATCTAATAACCGGAGGCCTCGGCTAAAGTACGAGAAGCGGATCGCGTTCTTCTAAAGTTGTGGCAAAAATGAAGTAACGTAAATATAAACACCTCGGACTAGCACAAGCGTAAATCAAAATATGCTAGCCCAGGAAGAAGGTACACGAAAATAACGACTGGCGCGTTGTAAATAAACCGCGTATTCCAAGTGAAATAAGTGTCAGAATTGAAGTCACGAGATGTCGAGTCGCGAAGAGAAAACGAGCAGTTCGCTATTAACAGTTGTCGTGAAGAAATCACATGCGTGTACTAGTGAAAATCCAACGGAAAACGCTACACTATGTCGCCGTAGCTGCTGGATGAAAAATTGCGAAGATCGCTATAAAAGTGAATCAATCCAATACGTGATGATCTTACGAGATCATGCAGGCTAACTAACGAAAACCCCAGCTCCGTGGCGAAAACGTGACCAGCGGAAGCTGTGATTGGTCACATTACGAAAACAAACCATGGTGACGAGATATGTGAAGGTAGGTGCCAAAATGTGTCAAGAATGTGAAACATACGACGTCGCAGGAAAACTGCATAAATTATCAGCGTAAATTTCTCAAAAGTTGTCGGCACAACAAGGCAATATCAAAACATTACATAAAGTTCGTTGACACTATAATGGAGCATAAATTCACTACATATAATCCCACTCTAGATTGTTGCTTGAGAAGATATGAAAAAGGAAGCAATCGATGAAGATATACAAGTAGTGTTCAACTCACTGCAAAATACTGTACAAAACGTGCAGGCCAATGAACGTGTCTCCCTGACCTGGTCGTCTTCACTGGAGGAGGAGTAGGCGTTGGAGAAACAGGAGGGCGTACATCCTTCAAACGTGATGTAGGAGCCTTGACAAGAGGAGGAGCCTTGACGGGAGGAAGAATCTTGTCAGAAGGAGGAAACTTGTCAGAAGGAGGAACCTTAGAAAACTCTGAATCGATGTATGCCGGCTTCAGTCTGTCGACACTGACACTACCATGTTTTCCACGCACATCGAGAGTGAAAAACTTGTCAGAACGGCTAAGAATCTGAAAAGGACCATCATACGGAGGTTGTAGCGGCTTCCTCACAGCATCATGTCGCACGAAAACATGTGTACAAGTAGATAAATCAGGATGAACCTGTGACTGACGTTGAGAAACACGAGGAGGCTGAGCTCTCAAGTCCTGCATCTGTTGCTTGAGTCTATCCACGTAATCGCTGAGATCAGCACAACTGCTAGTCTGACTGGGAGCAACAAATTGCCCCGGCAACCGAATGGTGGTCCCGTAGACAAGCTCGGATACACAACAACCCAAGTCAAATTTCACAGTCGTACGTATACCCAACATGACGAGAGGAAGGGTCTCAGACCAGCGAGCGTTAGAATGAGCTTTGAGTGAAGCTTTCAGTTGGCGGTGGAAACGTTCCACAAGTCCATTAGAAGCAGGATGATAAGCTGTAGTCCTAGTACGCTTGCTCCCTAACAGGTCGGTGAGAGACCGAAACAACTTGGACTCAAACTGGCTACCTCTATCTGTGGTAATAGTGGAGGGAACCCCGTAAAGAGCAACCCAGTTGGCGACAAAAGCCCGTGCGACGGACTCTGCTGTTATGTCCTTGAGTGGTATAGCTGCAGGCCAACGAGTAAACCTGTCGATGCATGTAAGTAGATATATATGCATAGCCCTCTGAAGGAGGAAGAGGTCCTACCAAATCTATATGAACATGGTCAAATCTGGCATCCGGAGTCGAGAATGTGCCCAATGGTGCCCTCGTATGACGGTGTATCTTACACCGCTGGCACTTAAGGCAAGTTCTGGCCCACTTCCTCACATCAGTGTTTATGCTGGGCCACACGAAACGGTCGGTGACCAAACGCTGAGATGCTCTGATACCAGGGTGTGACAAATCATGAAGAGCACTAAACACTGTGCGCCTGAACGATGGAGAGACGTAAGGACGAGGATTGCCCTTAGTAGTATCACACAAAATAGTACCAGGTGAAGAAGGAAGTGGTATGGCGTCCAGATGAAGAGACGAATGTCGTAAACTATCAAGCTCCAAATCAGACTGCTGAGCTTCAGCGATAGCCTCAAAATCGATGACGGAGGATGCATCTATATGTAGAGCATGGATGTCAGCTCGAGAAAGGGCGTCAGCTGCTGTGTTGTCTTTCCCACTAATATGACGCAAGTCAGTAGTGTACTGGGAAATGAAATCCAAGTGTCTGATCTCTCGTGGCGAATACCGATCAGGCTTGGCGTTGAAGGCATGAACTAGCGGTTTGTGATCAGTATACACACAGAAATGCCGACCGACGAGAAGGTGGGAGAAATGCTTGATGGCTAAGTAGATGGCCAGAAGTTCTCTGCCAAAAGTTCCATATCGAGTCTCTGCAGATTTAAGACGTTTGGAGAAAAAGGAAAGTGGCTGCCACTCCCCATGAACCAGCTGCTGCAAAACTGCCCCCACCCCATAGTCCGAGGCATCGGTAAGTAGACAAACAGGAACGTCTGACCTGTGATGAACCAGAAGAGTAGCACGCGATAAAG